ATAAGAGAGGTTTATTTTAGCCTACGCTTCCTATACGCGTCTACTACTAACTGCTATATAGACGACTACTCCTTCTACGTAGGCCCCTAATAAAGTACCTCTACTACGCTACTACTAAGTACGCCTATATACCTCTAGACGACTACTTAGCTAAGGCCTTTAACTACCTCGTTCGCTACTACTACGTCTTAGACGCCTTTATTGCCGTTCGCGCTAGCTATAGGGTTAACGCCGCTACTACGCTTAAGTTCTACTAGCTTAAGGTATACGTAGCCTACGAGCGCGCCCGCTTCCTTTACTACCTCGACGCCGCTAAGTACGACCCTAACTCCTACGTTAGTAACGTCCGCCTTTATAAGGACGCCGATAAGGTTAAGCGCTCGCTACTAGCTATCGCTACCTTCTACGAGGAGGTACGTAAGCGCGCTACCCTTAAGTACCTCGCTTAGGTATATTACTTTATCTATATATTCCGCTTATATATCGCGCGACCGTATCTAACCTTATTTATTTATAGGAGGCTACTAAGTCCTACTATACCGCTACTAAGGCTAATACTATTGCTATACGCTCTACTAGCGCCCTCGAGGCGATTACTATATACTTCGCTAGCTTCTAGCCTACGGTCGCCGCCGCTCCTAACGATAGTAACGACAATAAGGATAGTAAGGATAGTAACTTATCTAACTCCTCTATCTCTAACATCGACGAGTACTACTAGAACTCGGAGAACGACCTTCTAGACGCCGCTAACGCTATAGCTTACTGTCGTAACGATAGTAAGTCCTCCTTAGATAGCAAGGGTAGCGACGCCCCTAGCCCTAATAGTACTACTAGCGCCGTTGCTATTGCCGCTACTAGTAGTTAAGCTACTAATAGTTAGGGTAGCGCTACCTAGGCCGGCCGCCCTTCGTATGTTTAGCCTATAGGCCCTATTAGTTTAGCCTACGGGCACCTAGAGATACCCTTACTACTAGTAGGTATAACGCCTAGCTATGCCTAATTTAACTTTTGCTTTTATTAACTAATGTTCTATGCCCTATATTTAAGTAGATTTCTAAGGCCGACCCCTTCGCTTAGGTTACGCCTACGCTTCGTATACGTCTTATACGTCTATAGCATTCGCTATATTGCTCGCTAGTACCTATAAGTTATACTCTACTAGCTAGCCTATCTATTTAACTAAGAAGGCTTTCTTATTACTAGTACCTTAATAGTCTACGATTTCCTCTACCT